AACCGATGAGATTTTGCAAATTTTATGCGTTTTTTTTAAAAAAAAAGGTATCAAGCTCTTAAAAAATCACCCGTTATAAGCGGCGTAAGTCTGTGCGATCAGCTGTTCATGCTTAGTCCAACACGTACAGTTCAGGTAGCGAAACAATTTTGCGATGGAAAAATGGTGGAATGTTGCCAACTGTTGGAGTGAGCGAAACGACTCAACTGTGCGTTTCAATGGTTAGGCAACAGCTACATACGTCTTATGAACGCGCGTAAATACAGAACGTTCAAAACTTGCATATAATCAGGCAAAATCTCTTTTCCTTGCCCTTTACAATTAAAAGTAGAAAACGCAAAAAAATATGGCAATATCAAATATGGAAACAGGGAAAGCTAAATTGTGGACATTATTAATCGAATATAATCTATCTCTTTAGCAGACAAAAAAGCAGTTTCTCCTATTTCCAATAGGCATTAACTGTGGTTAAGGTTTGGTGGAAATGTACTCTTACGGTGGAATCAGATGCACTAAGGTCCTCACCTCCGGACCATTTAAATTAATGTAGTTCCTGAAACGACATTTCCGCGAGAGCGGGCGCGCGGGCGTGCTGGCGTGCTGGAGAAAACTATATCGTTTATATGCCATGGCGTATGAGTTATCTATAAACATTAATGTTTAGTCCGGTTACGCTTCCTACCTAGAATTCATTCAGTTGAAAATTCATACAAACTTTTACGGAAATAAAACTAGTAGTGTCTTGGTTTACGCAACTAACTAAATAAAAAGAAAATTCTTAAAATTTTCCGCAGACATTTTGGAGGGGGCGATGTTTGAACCCCCAAAACCCCCACCTGCGTTCGCCCCTGTTAGTAACCATACGTGGTAGTCAAATCTGTATCTCATCACAATTTTTTTATAGTGGGTTGAAATTTCAATATTTTGGTAAAAAATGCAATTATATTAATTGAAATATTATATGTATATACATAAATCGACTTCAAACATAATGCCTGTCTTCAGGGACCTTTAGCACAATTTAATGAGACATTTTTTCGTAGAACATTTTAACCTCTTAACTCTCATCTGCATGGGACTTGTTGGCTTTTTAAAATAAGTTTCATAAAATTTTATTTAAAAAGGTAGTTAGAGGGCTAAAATGTTCTTCAGAAACTTTACTACGCTCATCGATGGTGAAAAACTCCCACAGTCGAGTGAAACATATGTACGCAAAGTTGGAATGGAGCCATTGCAGTGATCAAATTAACACGCGATTTTTCCGATGTGAACTCGCGTACATTCAAAAATTTTATTGGTCATTATTACAGGGGTCACCAACGGTGATAGCCCCCTACGTATTAAAGTACAAGCGTAAATCGTAGGAATTTACTACTACTACTAGTTAATAAAATACTATAATTTAATATTAAATCAGTTTGTGCGACGTTTTTTTGATGGTGGTGTTTTGAAATCATCGTCACTATTGCCTTCTTCGTACTGCTCTTGGAACATAGCCTTTAACCACCAACAAATTTCAGCCAATACCGCGTCTGGTGTTTTTCCCCCTCTACACCTGTAAGTCAATAAGTACTTAAATACAATTATTTAATGCATTGTACATACATACACATATGTATGTATGTATAATTGAAAACTTTAAAAATTTACTTACATACATACACAAATCGAATTCCTCGAAAGAGTATGCGCATTCCCAAATTACCCTCGAATAGGAGGGCTCCCGAGGGTTGTGGACCGTGATATTACCATCGAGATCGGATAAAACAATGCGCTTAAACGTTTTTCGAAGAGCGTAACAGTGGATAATTACTCTCAAAAGCATGATATTTAAATTCATATGTTTAACACATTTGTTTGTGTGTATGTAATAATGTGAGTTCCAGCCAGTGCTGCCAACTGCTTTCGTGTAAAAAAATCCAGATTTTTATACAAACCCACTAGAAAAAAGCTAAATTCCATAAAACAAAAAAATAATAACTAAATAGGTTCATATTAATATAATTCGAAGCAATTCATTTGAAACATTACTTGAAATTAAAATTAATCAGCGAATAATACAGCTGAGATCAAAGCTCATCAGTAAAAAAAAAAAAAATGAGAATAAAAGTTAATGTAACCACTTATATATAAATGTATACTATTACGTAGCTTTGTTGTCATCAAGTTTAGCTGAGCAAATAAAGTTCCGGGTCTGCCTTAGGCCAACGTAGTGAAAATCTGTTCAAAAATGCATTGTATTACTTATATTATTCCATTTTACAAAATTAATTTCAATATACATACTGAATTATTATTTTTTCTTTGATATCATCACTGTAATTAAAATGTTTTAGAACCTCTTCTATCTCCTCGTGTGTTGCACGTAAAACATTGCCCACTGGAAACATATTATCTTTTTTAATCGTATCGAAAATATCTGGTAATTTTAAATTCATATGTATGTAGCATATTTTTTTAAGAGAAAAAGCTAAAAGTCTGCCAAAAAAATTCTCATAAGGCTGGACTTCCCGCTTCCCGCAATTTCTCATTTCTTGCCGCTAAATGGACTTCGTAAAATGCAGATTTGACGGGAAAAGAGCTAAATTGGCTGTCCTGGTTCCAGCCAGTGATGCCGTTTTCTATTTTTTTAGAGTAGTAAAAAATTTAATTTTTGGGGAAACCATATACATAGATAAAACTTTCAAACTTTATACAAAATGTGCATCAAAATTTCAAAGTTATTAATCTGAATTCTAGGTATGCAGTTTTATAGCCCATACAATTTTAGTCTAATAAAGTGCAAGCGACTCAAGAATCGAGTACATTTTTAATATTTTTTGTTATCTATCGACTTTTGCACTTTTTTCCTTAAGTATAAGCATGAAATACAATGCGGGAGACCGTTCGCAATGAAATTTCAAAAAATCAACGCCATTTTTTGTAAGTTGTACGTGTTATAAGAAAAAAAAGAGCAAAAGCAGTCAGAACGAAAATTATTAAAAATCAACGCTATTTTTTTTAGCCGCTGAAACTTGCACTAAAATTGTATGTTCTATAAAACTGCGTACCCAGAAAATGTTTCAAAGACTCAGTTTGAAAATTTGTTGAGTTTTCCTAAATTTTACATAAAGTTCGAAACTTTTTTATTTATGGCTTTTGTTAAAGCTTGGATAATATTTTTTTAGAAAATAAAACTTTAAAAATGTTTTTAATATTAAAAAAAAAAATAATCAACACGTGGACACTTGTTTGAGTCACTGTATAATAAATGTGCATTGGGCAGCACTCAGAGCAGCACACACTGAATCGACTGAGTCCAGCTCTTTGGCTGCCAAGAGATTACGCATTCAATGTTTCAATAATCAACAGTCTTCTCTTATTACAAGCTGTATGCGCCGGGATTAGTCGCGATATAAACGTTGAAGTGATCGGACTCATTTGTATTTTGATACATTTGCATTTAAAACACTTCGCGTTGACGGTACACGTGAGAAGATAAATAAACAAATATATAAATACTTGCAAACGTTGCAAAATTTTTGCTCGGGCGAAATTTTTGAGAACCTTTCATTTTCGTTTGTTCATTTTGTGCTATTTAATAAAATAATAGAGTGAATAAAAATAAAAAAAAACTCGCTATTAATCTACATACATACATATTTGTATATTTATGAACTCGGACTGTGGTCCTACTGCCATACTTCCAACCATATTCCCGGTAATTTCTTCGGTATGCCCAAGGCACATTAAACAGGTAGTATCAGTAGAGCAAAAACAACATTTGCGTGTATTTTGTTGTTGCTTCTGGTATCGAAAGTGTCAAAAACTGTTCTGAATTTTTTCTTCTAAATCAAAGCGTGCCATGTGAAATACAAAAAATTATAAAAAATAAAAAATTGAAATTGGAAAAAATAAAAATTGATGCAACTTTCTTTCCTAGTAAATTTGTTTGCTTCTCGAAGCATTGATCCATCCTTTGCAAGGCCCAGTAATCAGCGGTCGTGCTGCCGAGTTGGGCGAACGTTCCAAAAGCTGCTATTCAATCGCTTGTTTTGTATGGAAAAAGGTTTCACAAGCAAATGGATTTTAACAACTTATAATTTTCGTGAGAAAAAATTAAAAATATTTGACATTTCGAGACCAAATAATTTGAAAATAAATCAAATCAGCTGCTCTACTGATACTACCTGTTCAATGTACCTTGGGTATGCCTATTTTCGCCTACTATTAATTGATTTGTTGTAATTTTCAAAGCGTTAATGATTTTTTTTTTACGATTCCGTTTTTTAGTTTGTTTGATTTTTGCGCGAAATCTTTATAGCTTTTACGTGCTCTGGTGTTTCCTTTTTTAATTAGCCACAGGCCAATGACTAGCGAAATATTTTAATGCCCTATTGCTTTTTAAAGTAATTTATTAATGGTATTCAAGATTAAATACCTTGGAGCGCGTCATTTTTCAATAGAAAGTGATAATATGAATAAATTTTCAGATGCGAATTTGATGCATACATATGTACATACATAAATAAACTTGCTTGAAAATTTAGTGACTCATTCACATTTCGCCGGTGATAAGTGAACGACCAAGTGTTTTTGTAATAAAGAATAAGGAAGAGAAAATCGTGTTACTCTAATTATAAATTAAGAAGTATGTATGTATCTAACATACATATGTATGTGCATTTGAGCCGCATATTGAAGTCATATCTGCATACATACTTATTAGGGTATTCAATCCCGGGATTCCGCGATGCCGGACACTTATGCATGACCCGAAATCCCGGGATAACAGCTCCGCGATCCCAATTGTTTTACTGATTCATTTACAGAATGAAATTTTTTGACATAAAAAATTAGTAAATATTAACCTATATGGGTGTTAACATTTGCCTGGTGATCAGGTTATATGGTTCAAAATTATTATTATATAGTGTTTTTTATTGATGTGTACTGAACATTGATTAAAAATATGACACAAGTGCGCTCCGGAATAAACCAAAATTATACGGAGACTGTTCAAAGGACAAAGTTGTAAATACATTTACGTACAAACTACTTTGAAGACGAGTTTATTGAAGTAAAAATTACTACGGTTATATTGCAATCGGTTTTTTGAAACGAAATTTACAGTAACTCAAACAAGTGACCACGTGTTGATTTTTTTAAATACCTATTGGTATTTTTTTTTTTGCTATTTTTCTATAAAAATACCGTCCAAGCTTTAACTAAAGCTTTAATAAAAATATATGGGCATATTCATAGTCGAACTAAAGTCGACAAATTAATTACATCGCTAATTTTTTGCAAAATAAAAACTGTCATTTCTACAGAACGGTAGCTGGCACCTGTATCCGTGTTCGGCTTCCACGATTTTCATAAATACTTACACTTTTTAAAAAAGTAGGCATTCCGTTTTTTTCCCTTCTCTAGAGGATTTTCCTATTAAATAATAAAACTAAATCTCTATGAAAATGTCTTCGTCAAATACCTTCGTCTAAGAACTATTTTTCTCTGTGTGCATTTTTTCGTTCCACTGTATTCCAACAACCTCTAAACAAATGCATACATATATGTATGCATACATACATGTATGTACATGCATATATATCTCCAAACTTTCAGAAATTTATGATACGCAGGTTGTGCTCTAATCTAAATATTGGATTGTTTTATTTCCTTTTTCTTTCCAAGGATCTTTAAAATTATATATTACTCCTAAAAATTGCTCTTTACACTTTAGATAATTTTGTTGATGATTAGTATTAGTAGGGCTGTTCAGGATCTTGTGCAGTGTATTTGTATTTGCAAACTTTGTGTTTGCTACCATGGCAACCGCTTGTATTTTATTGTTGTAAATTTACAAACGCACCGAATATGCAAAGGCCACAAGATGCTGCACAGCCCTAATGTATTTATGTACATTAGACTGCATCACTCCCTATACAAAAAAAATATCGGTACTGTTTTTCCATTGGAATTATACAGTCTATTGTATTTTAAGACGTCCACCAAAATATTTCAGAAAATATTAAGATTTCAGCGAGCTGGACCGATTTGAAAATACCTCCAAAAATGGAGTTTTTTATGAATAAAAATAGTTTCTAAAAGATGTTTTTTGAAAAATCCCCTCAAATGACAAAACGGTGTAACTTAAAAAATTTCCATACAAATAAGTGTTAAAAAAAAATTTTGAACGGAATCGTAATAATAAGATTTTGGATGCTGTTTTTTAACTTATTTTAGAGATTGGTATAAGAAAAACTTGAATAACTGAACCTAAACTCTTCCGATTTAGACTTAAGAGGTATCATTTTAAAGGTATTTTCTCACCCTTTTTATTTATTTGCTAATAAGCTCATTCAAAGGATTAAAGAGAAAGGTAGGATGACGGAATATCATTCAAATTAAGATGTGTTGGTATTTGAAAAAAAAAATTGGGACACGAATGACTTTTTTTGCACATAAATAAAAATAGTGGGAAAATACCTTTCTACCGAGATCCCATAAGTCTAAATCAGAATAGTTTTGGCCCAGTTAGTTGAGTTTTTCGTAAATCAATCTTTGAAAAAAGTTAAAAAAAACAGCATCAAAAATCGCATTATTATGATTTCATTGAATCGATTTTTAAACATTTTTATGCAGATTTTTTAAGCCTAATCTGTTTTGTCATCTGAGGGGACTTTTTTCAAAAACTTCTTTAAGAAACTATTTTTATTCATGAAAAACTCAATTTTTGGAGGTATTTTCAAATCGGTCCAGCTCGCTTAAATCTTAATATTTTTCCGAAATATTTTGGTGGACGTCTTAAAATATAATACATTTTGTAGTCCCGGTGGAAAAACCGCAACTTTTTTTGGTGATGCAGTCTAATGTACATTGTTAACCTCTGTAAATTACATATTGTTACTTAAAGGTGAAAAGGTGCCAAGTCCATTATTTGAAATTGCTAAGGAAAGACGAAAAATGTATGTAGTTTTGCAGAATCTGTCATTCTACATCAAACACTAAATTTTGAAAATAAGTGGACTTGGCACCTTTTCACCTTTAGGTTGCGATTTGTGAATGCTTTAATCTAAACTAAACATTGACAACCAGCCATTAACTAATTAAGTTTGTAAATCAAATTGAATAAAATCAAGATAAGAGAAAACTTCAGTTTTTGTATTTATTCATTATAAAAACATTTTAAATTGTGTAAAGGGCATAAGTCAGCATTTTTTCCGATATGGCAAATTTGAAGCGGTTCAACAGAGCTCCTTTAAACGAACCGAACTGCATCAAAATTGTCATATCGCATATCGCAGAAATGCCGATCCATTCGCTTTGGTTTTTAACCTATTCATATCCAATTTGTGATATTAAGCGCGAAATGACAATATCTAAGAATTGGAACTCATTAAATGGTATTATAACTTCTAATCGCTTTACATACATATAAATCAACCCTTTAACTATTTTGTTTGACTTTGTATGTAAAGTAAGCTGAATGCAAAAAAGATTACAATATTATTTATAACAATGACAATAACTTATTTAGATATTTTTCACCTAAGCGATAGAATTTAACTGATAACTCTATATAATAAATAATGTCAATAATTATGAAGTGGATTAATCGATTGAGGTTAGTTAGCGGCCTCGTTTGGCTGATTTGACTTGCTCGTACATACATATGTACATATTTGTTGACTCATATTTTGTGGGAAAGTATAGAAGTATTTTGACTAATATGCGGCACTAAATTGTACTCTGAATCTAATACCGTAAGGTCCTGGGCTAGGGATGTTCCGATACAAGTAAAGTAAAGTTTGGATACCAACTACTTTTTTTACTCGAATCGTTGTTTCAACACCTACTTTACTTGGGATCGAAAGAAAAGTGCTTGTATCGAATCGATTCGAGCAAGTGCCATATTTTGTCGGCCATATTTTTTCTATGGAAGAAACTTTGCACAGCGTCGTTTTGTGAAATAATTGCTTTAAGCAATGACACCGCCAAAATTTAAAGTGTGGATTATTTTTTTCAAATGCTTTCAATGCTTTGAAGCCGTAAAGTTTTGTGGGAATCTTGCAAAGGTTGAATTTTTTGTCTGAGTAATCATATTACCTCTAGCGTTACCAATGAACAAATACGTATACATATCAGCACCTGAGTGGAAGATCGGTGTATCTCGAAAACGCCCTATCTCAGAAAACTTTTCAAGTATTTGGTTCACAAACGCCCTGCCTCTACTGAGAATATGTTGAAAATATTTGAGATAGGGCGTTTTTGCAATAGGGTGTTCTTGAAAAGTTTTCTGATATAGGGCATTTTCGAACTAGCTGCCGAGATAATGTAGGCGGATCTTCCACTCAGCTGTCGCCAAAGGTATGTCACAAATAACGTCTGAAAATTACCTTCGCTTTGTTGCATATAAGAGGATGAAAAATTATCGATATAAGTAGGTATCGATACATTCGGTTTACTCATAAATGTAATTAGTATCGAAATAGCGATTTGAGTAAACTAATTTAAGTAGGTATCGATAATTTGATGATATCGCAACGTCCCTATTCTCGGCTAACACGCGTATTCATGGGATAGTCTGTAGATACATACATACATAGGTACTATATACTTACACATTTCTCAAATGATATTTACATACATATAAATTACATGACACACTTCATATCGCCCGAAAGATCGAAAAACGGGCTTTTAAAGATTTTTATGAGATTTTTATCTTGAATAAGAAAAGTTTTAATCGAGAGGACAAGAGTTTAATCAAATCTTAATTGGTAAGTTACTTTGATTATAGGGTGATTGATTTATAGTTTGCAAAAGCAGAATGGAAGGGAGTATATGTACTTACGAGAAAGTCAAATTTTCTTCATATGAGACACAACTGGCTGATATCATTATGAATTTTTTGCACGATTGGTGGCCATTTCTGCATATTTAACTATAAAACCAAAATTGCCGTGATTATGCCGTTCTGTCAACAAACGTGAAATATGCATTCTTTGTTTACTATAACTGCTTACTTACTATAACTGCAACT